ACACCGCCGCACGTTGTCATACGCGCTTTAGGCCACGCCCATTCTGTCACGCTGACTTCGGCCATGCCCTAGCATTTAGTAGGCGTGGCTACGCGCACGCGCGCGTGATCTTGCGTACGGGTGGAGGAACTAAACAGTATAAGTACCTGATTTTTAACTAGAGACTAGATATTCAGCTGGATGTAATCACCACAAGCCGAGTGTATATGACCGACCGATAGCACTCACCTCATCCACTGAGGTGTACCATCGCAAGATGCTATACGCGAATCAGTCAACCTCTCTGAACAACCGAAGTCGCACAATTTGCACACGCCCTCTCCAGTCAAGACAATATTCGATGCTTTCAAGTCACAATGCACCATTCTTTCCGGTGCATCGTTATGCAAATAGGCCACTGCCGACGCTATCTGAACAAAACTTTATTTGTGTCGAATGTGAACTGCAAACCGAACGCTTCTTTCTTTGATTATTGCACTTTCTAAAACACATCGCAAAATTCACATACAATCACGTTCAACACAAAACACTCCAAACGCATACAAATAATTTTTCCACTTCAGTAAATTCATCAACTTTTCATTACGCATACACACTCTATCATACTCTCCAATTTCCGCGAACAATTACGATTCAACTCTGAGAGAATTAATAAGTAAATGAATGCATCAGAAAATCAAAAAAGAAGGATGCAGTCATGAATGCAGTCATATTCGAATGATGCGAGAGCAAATAACCTGCAAAGCCCAAATGATCATTTGATTGTAATCGATATCACCATTGCTCGGATTGTGCAAATAATCGTACAACGAGCCACCTTTGGCGTACTCTACAAGCTCATTTCTTCCGAGTGCTTTACCGAAATTTAACGATGCTCATGAGTTTACAGTCGTCAAATATTACAAATTACTTCAGCACATTGCCACGATATTAGACTACGAGCCATGGCAAAGCAGAAAACATAATGAAGAAATCATCGAATGCACAAACAATTCCTATGGGTAAGCACCACTCTGTCCAACAATGGCTGCTGAGAACGTATTTGATAATTTTAAGTTTTCATGCGTCAACATTGAAGTTTTTACTTGAATGAATCCAACCTCACATCAGCAATACCAGAAATTAGCTTCAGTAATATGAGAAATCTAATTTTTTGCACAAATATTCCGATTTCAAAGAGTACTCAATTCATATCCGTTTGCTGTGTGTCAAAAATTCAGAGCGAACAGGCGGGCGGTAGGTAGTTCACAATTCGAATTCGAAATTCATAGCTAACCTGTAACAATGAAGAAATCAGATTCCATTTTTGAAACGCCATAAAAGCGAATTATATTCGGGTGATCAATTTTCGATAAAACGTTTGCCTGAAATAACTCGATATGGTCATATATATATTCATTTCGATAACTGCAAAACATCACCAACTCACGCAACATTCACTGAATATAAACTAAAAGTAATGCGGACACAGTGCTGTGATTCAATTTACGAGCGCTAAACAAGCAGTAATACTCGCTGAACAATGAAACGAACCTCTTTCTGAAGTAACTCTTTTTGGAAAATTTTCTTCAAGCCAACCGATTTTTCGTTTGTTTTCCATATTCCCGCATAAAACGATCCAAAAGTACCGCCACCCAAACGCTTGCCGAACTCAAACTCACCTCTAGCAGTTACCAAACACTTGTCCACAGCTGCTCCTTCGCGTAGCCAACTGCTTGCTTTAAACAAGCCTCAAATGAAGTGTTTTTCATTACTCCTCTTCACCAGCCAGCAGCCACCTCGGTGGATTATTCCAAGTTCAAATTCAGCATTTATTTGATACCTTTCTTGAGCATTTCGATAATTTTGTGATAATCTTTCAACATTCTCTGCTCACCAGTAGTGTTGTGGCGTGGTGCCTATCGAACCCACCTGAAAAAGGCATCAAGCTTACAGTTCCTTCCATACGTTGCGTTAAAAATAACCACACATTTCATCCGATTTGTTCATTATTGGGCACTTATGCTGTTTAGCTCCTCCACCCGCACGCAGACAAGCGCGCATTACCATTTGCGCTTTCAACTACACCGCCGTACGTTGTCATACGCGCTTTAGGCCACACCCATTCTGTTACGCTAGCTTCGGCCATGCCCTAGCACCCGTGGGCGTGGCTACGCGCACACGCGCGTGATCTTGCGTACGGGTGGAGGGACTAAACAGCATAAGTACCCGCTATCATTTAGTATTATTATCTCGTACTTATCATTATTTATTATACACTAATACATACATATATATAATAAATAATAACAATCTCATTAAAACTCTCCTTTTGCCAATAATGCGAACGATATCACGCAACAATAAGAATGCTTTTTGTATAATAATAGTGATAATAACAATTACACACAGTATTCCTTTTATTAGAACAGTGATAAACAATAATAATAATAATAATGAATAAATAACAAATAATATTTACACCAGCACTTAATTACAAACAACAAAAACACTTAATAATGAGTATTTCTATCCAAACTGAACAGCGTCGAAGTATCAAACGACCCTTCACGATGCAGCCTCAGCAACCGATTTCTGCGCACGTACTCTCTCCACTGCTCGTCTTCTTCCCTCCACGACATCATTAATACTATCTCCGCAATTATCTATCATAATTAATATACATATTTTAATATTAAACAGTAATATTATACAATAACAATTTATATATACAGTACAGTATATAATAATAGTAACAACAATAAATTATAAAAGGATTACATCCCTTATTCAACCATCAGCATAATCTGTTCTACCGTTAATCCGTCAAAATCTTGTGGGTGGAGTTTGATGTCATCCCGGAGGAATACCAATAAGCTCCGCCCACACCCTTGACGAACTGGCCGCAAAACTTTTCCAAACAGCCACAAACACTCACTCATTCCAATAAGCATCCGCAAATGCTAATGAAGATAATAAACATAATAATAAATAACAATAAATAATAATAATAATAAATAAACACTCAATAACGATAACAAAACGCCACTCACCCCAATAAAAACAACGAAAACAGCGATAACCAACGAGACTGTCATTAATACTCTCAACGCAACCATAATTCGATACGAGCACCCCTCACATCTAAGGTCACACGACCGGGGAATGTCCATGTAGAATGCGCGATAGTCACTGCAGCCCGCATTCCCTGAATATATATATATTATTTGATATCATTAATAATAATTATTACACATAACATTTAATAGTACTGCTGAATATTAAGTTATAAAGTAAACTGAATATTTGGTAATAGGTGCGAGCGTTTAGCTCTCAAGGCACTCATCACAGCGCAGCATTACACTCGTCAAATAAACTGACCATTACAGCCATTTAAACGAGCAAATTAAAAGCAAATAATACCACAACACTTGAATTGATGCTGAATCAAGTCCACCAACTCGGCCATACTACCCGCACCTTGATAATACTTCTGCACCAGATAGTCCAACGACTCGCTTATTTCATTACTCGTCTATAATATCCAACACAATAAATAACAATAACAATAAACACAACAAAATATTAATAATCAACTAATAAATAAAATAACCGACAAATCCACCTAAATTTCCCAAATAAATACCCTCAATAACCTAAAATAAATTCTCAATCGTTCAAAAACCTTTCAAATGTAGAAAATGCAATGCATAAATACACTAAAACAATACATAAACAGCACTAGATAACGACACACAAACAACTATAAATAATAAACAATAACAATAAATAATAAATAATAATAAACAATAACAATAAATAATAATAAACAATATTCCCAAAATTGCTATATCTCTCCGCGTAGTGAGAATTTTCACGCAGTTTTTCACTGTTAGAAAGAAAAAATTGTGCTCAATCGAATCATGTATGAACATTGATATGTTCTGTCGCAAAGCTGAGAAGACGTTGAGTTTGAATACATCATCAAACTCAAATTTCTATTATTTAGGACCACAAAAATTGCTATATCTCTCCGCGTAGTGAGAATTTTCACGCAATAACAATAAATAATAAATAACAATAAACAATAACAATAATAAACAACAATAACAAACAATAACAAAAAAAAAATCACCAACCCGCAACCAAACCGCACCCACCACACAAACACACACCACCACAATACCCATACAAACCGCACCCCACATCCCATAAACCCACCTCAACCTAACCAAATTCAACCACCGCAATACTATCCCAAACACCCCGAGTATCACCAATAAACACCCATTCACTACCGTCGATTGCGTATACACAAACATCGCTGTCGACTGCAATTTTTATTTATTATTATTGTAATTATATATTAATTGATATGCATTCATTATTATTATTAAGTGATAATTTATCACCTATCACTATCTATTATTACATTTATTATTACTGCTTATTCAATGGGTTGCAACGGAAA